AAAGTCTCTTTTTCCTTTCTTGTTTACGAGGAATTCACCATTCCCACGCTGCACGTATTTGATTGACAGACGGTTACCTTTGAAGACGTCGCCGTCGGCGCCCCGGAGTCTGGTCGGCTTCCGGACCGAAGAATTCAATCAACTGAGCAGCCAATGAGCACTGAGAAAAAATTTATAGTCGGTCTTTCTTTCAACCCCCTATGTTCTACCAAGGAGATTGTCGGATATTATTGTCTTCCATGGTCTAAAAAGGAGAAGTCAACCCCCTTAGACATAGTTTTAGACATAGCTATAGCTTTAGACAACTACCTTTTATCATGTAGATTTTAGTTATTTTATACTCTGTTTCATTGTTCTTTTATGTTTGTAATTTGCAATTAGCCCCCGGGCACGAATTTGCAATAAACTTCTCATTGTTGTCATTACTAGTATTATTCGTGATAACAAATTGAAGTTGTACGGACTCAAGTTATACACTTTGCTGAGCCGCCGCTTGTATCAAGGAGGTTAAAAAGGACTTCGTTAAAAGTCGTTCGTTATTCCTGTGTTCTAGTTGAAATGATGGCTGTGAACTTCAGTTGTGCTGGCACGTTCTGTCAACTATGGTTACTGACAACTTTAATTAATCAGAAGAACTCACGTTTGCTTTGCTTGGACTTTTTTGTTGTGAAATGAATTCATTTCGTGTAAGAAAATTTGGATACATGTATTACTAACAGTGACTTGTAACTTTACTAAGGCGATATAACAACTAACGTTACTAACAGGAACTCAGTCGAGCCAACTTACATTAACCAACTTTTTATATAAATTTGTGCAACTAATGGATATCCAAATAAAGTATCAAGTATTCACAATTATGTTAACATCCATTCAAAATACGGACATCATGACAACCGGCGCCCCGTGTGCCTCGCTTGCTGTGATCTGAAGCAAGACTGCTAAGAAACTACGTAACACATACTAATCTGCTTGGTCTTTGCGAACAAATTTTGCTTTCTGTTAAATATTTCTTAATAAAGCTTAATTGCCACAAATTTGGCGTTTTCACACAAGCACAGCAAAAATCGTCAACAAAGCCGACGCCCTTTACTTTACATAAGTGAATGCTATACTGTTACACCTTTCCCTGTGTGTTTTCTCACTAAATACCGTTCATATGACATCAAATATCCCACATGCCATTACTTAGTATTTGAGAAATAAGACTACATTTCCGCTATAAACTTCACTCCGTGCCTGTGGTAGTTTGGGGAACAATATGGCGGATTTTCTTACCCAAGCTATACCGTAATGCATTGCGTGGGAAGCGTCTTTGGGTTACTACATTACGCCGCCTGGCAGACAGACCGGCGAGAGCTCAGCGCTATCTCGGTAGCGTCATAGGCCACCAAGCAAACTTTATGCAGACGGCTTAGGTTTTTCCTCTTACAACGTCGGCGCAATAGCTTCTCCACATTCTCCTTGACTTTAGATATCAGAATACTAGTAAACACACCGCACCGTCTCTACGTACTGTTAAAGATTTTGATTATGAACAAGTAACAACTACAAGGGCATTCCGTATCACCCCAGGTGTAGTAGTATATAACCCCGACAACAAATACAGCATTTTCAACAAGGAAATGTGGCAAAGCCGCTTATGATGAATGGTCTTCTCAAGACACGACAAACGCACGCACATGAGACCAATTCACTACGCCGCTGTATGTCATGTCAAGGAAAGGCATAATATGTACATTGCCAGTATGTATATATGTACCTCTGTTTCGTCGTTGTTGTGTCCATTGATTTTAACTACTAGTATTGACAAAGAAAACTTTTAATGTGTTGACGTACTTATACTGTTATGATGATCGCAATGGGATGTAATATGATATCTTTTTAATTGTTAAATGTTATCAATTCTTCTAAGTGTTTTCCAAATTTTAAAATGTAAGATCAACACAATTCAGTTTGATGCAAATGCATGTGTGTACTGCAAGGTTGGTTGAATGAATAAAGTTTAAAGTATGTGTGATCAAGTTATAAAAAATATACGTCTTGATTTCTTACCTCCCGTCTGGTGTAATGCGAACGTAATCTCCAAGCAGATCTTTTGGTGGGGGTATGGATACAGACTGGCCAATTTGATACTGTCTTACCCCCACCAAAAGATCTGCTTGGAGATTAATGCGAACGGTGCAATTATTAAGAACACTTTTATTGGATCCCTTTTATGAAGTTATTATTCTACACAACTTTTTGGAAACCCGTGTGATAACTGTTAGAACTTGATACATCTAAGTTCAAATATCACACGGGCCTTTCCTTTTGAACTTGGGACTCCAGAGGGCGTACATCCACGACGACGCCACCAAGGTCCTTGCCCTGCCGTTCCTGCCCAGTGAACACGTCGTCCCGATGTCCCTGCGACTCCAGAGGAATGCCGCAACTCCAGCACTCCGGGAGTTGATGGACTACGTGGACAGCCAGTGGATCGTCAGCCGCCTCCAGCCACCATCGAGTTGGTCCATCTTCTGACGAACGATCAGGACCAACAACGATACGGAAGGATGGCACCGACGTCTCCTGGGCCGAGCGCAGAAGGCTAACCTCCCTTTCTATCTCCTACAATTGCTGCGCAAAGAAGCGCGTCTGGTCGTGTACTGTTTGTATGTCTTTTTTTTTCGTAAATTACAAAGTCTTG